AAGAAGGAACTAAAACGGCAATTGTTACTTTGAAACGATGGGTTTTTATTAATTATGTAGAATATCGAAGTGCAAGAAAATTACATAATATTTTACAGTAATGATCGGAATCTCTATACAGCGATAATTCATCTGTGTTGCATTGTAATGTTTTTGTGAAGTTTGTTGAAGAACAAAGTAGTAAAAACTGTATAACTAACGAGTAGGGTTGCCACCTTGCCAATTCCAGAAAACCGGAGACCGATGCGACCGGGGGGGGGGTAATTACTGAAATCTAAAAAGAAATTGACGCAGACTTTTATTTATTTCTTTAAAATATATTTACATATATTTGCTTTTTAGTGATCTATAAATAATTAACATTTATTCAAAATAGTCGCTAGATGCTGTCTCTGTCTGATATGCGTAGAAAGAAAGAGACAGCCGATGGCGATAACACGAGAATCGCAAGACCAATTTTCATGTTCTGCTCTTTATCTTTCTAATGAAGAAGGAAAGGACAGATTTCTGATGAAATAGAAAAAGCTTTAAATTTTAAGTTGAAAAATCTATTTATTTTGTAAAAAATTTGAAAATGTATTGAAATTGAAAAAAACGGAGATAATTTTTCAAAAACCGGAGACCGGAGATGAAGCTCAAAAACCGGAGTCTCCGGTCTAAAACCGGAGAGGTGGCAACCCTACTAACGAGTGTTGAAAACCTCATATTGGGAGAAAGTTCTTACAGAGACGATATGATTTTAATACACGAGAGATCATGTTTTCAGGAGCTAAAAGTGCCTAGAGGTAGTCGGAGAGCATTATCAACAACCCCTGTGAGGCAAACAGAGTCGACGCACGTGGCCAGACCCGTAGTCGCGGCGTCGTGCAATCTCATCCCGCGGTCCTGGGCCCCAGGGCGCACAGTTCTTAAGAAGGCTCCTTGAATAATACTTCCCTTCATATCAACACTTACAAAATTACTTTTATAAATACGTGTTATAGAAGGGAGTTAAAAATCTACAATAAACTTCGAAAAGTAAATATTTTTTGAATGAGTGGTTCCACTCAAAGCAGAGCGTAAAAATTGATACATAAATAACTATTTATTTAATTAATTGACAAATAAGAATATGGTTTCATCAAACTCTCTTACTTATTAGCAACCGCATTGTAATTTATGGGAACTGAAAACACTTACTTTATTTTCGAATTACAATTATGTAATATGCATTTAATGTATACGCATTAATTACATTAAATGCCTGCTTAATAAACAGCTTAAATCACCTGCTTAATAAACAGCTGAATAATTGTCTCCTTCGTTCCATTTCATCACAGTGTTAAAAAGATTTATACTTTGTAACCACACAATAAATACGGCATGTACAATGAAACCTGTTCAAACGACCACCTCGGTTAAGGAATCTCCTGCATTAACGGCCATTTTGTTCATGAAACCGATTGATTTTTCGTAATATGCGTGTGATGTTCCCTGGATCAGGCGGTCACCTGACATGAAGGTCTGGCATATTTGGAAGATTAAAGTGAATGGCCACAATGTTGGGATCCATTGAGTTTTAAAAATAGGAAGACATTCTACTGTTTATATGTCGATTTATTTACTGAGTCCGTTGATGTTTGATCAGCTGTTATGGGGTCATTTAATCGGCAGCTGAAACGTCACTACTGTAGGTGTCATTCAAGCTTCTGATTGGATGACGTCGTAACAGCTGATTTACGTCAAGGACTATGTTTCAATCGAAGTATATTCAGGATCTTCCTGCGACGTGACGCAATGTCAGATTACGTACAATAGTGATGTCTTAAGTTGCTTATCTTGTGGGTAAATTAGTTTCTGATAACGATAAATGATTTTCAATAATACTCATGCACGGTCTGACACTTTCTCAAATGTGAACTGCACTTTAAACCGGGTTGGCAATAAAGTCCAATGATGGATAAAACAACCAGTGCAATGAAAGAGATGAGTGTAAATAATTTTCTTGTTTCAAGTAAATAAATCCTGTTGGTCGCTGGATGATCGTAATAAGTTCATATTGAAAATAATAGTACAGTCTTAATTTTAATAATTAGACCGTTTGTTAAGAATAATAGTCAATTAAACAGCTGTAATCATGTGCGTCGGAAATAAATTAAATATTGGCGTGTGGCAGTACATTCGGATTCTTGTATTGACGCGTAGAAATGAATATGATGGATATGAAGATACACACAAAATCTAATTATCTAGGAGAAGAACAATGCTCTGAGAATAGAGAAGAGGGGACTACGGGTAGCGCTTATGAAGGGTCTGTCCACAACGTAACTGGGTTTCCCCCTGAAGATCATAGTCGCTTTTCCTTAATTAAGTAGCTCCGGGCAGGCTGACAAGGAAGGAGAAATTTCGTGCTCTTTTGTTTTTCGTCGTGCGCCATAACGACGGGATCGGCCCAAATTCTTCGTCGACCACCACAGAGGATTGTAGTTGTTTCCTTAACTGGTATCTTGAAGGAATGAGTGGGGGGCACTGACTATCTGACTGGGCTACGAAAAAACCTGAATGCAAAGGCAGCCATTTCTTACATTTTTTTTTTGATATGTTCCAATCTTACCATTGATAAGCAAATATTTGTCACGTCTACCACTATTATCAGCCATTATCACGACACGTTTGGAAAAGGACACAATTGTTTTATGAAATATTATCAGTGAGTAATTTTCCTATTCGGATATCACTTGCTTTGAATGTTTCACGTTTCAGCTTTTAAAATGTCGATAACCATAGGTGGATGATGCAAGATTCTGATAGTTTATGGTACTTGTTAGTGTTGAAAGACAATTTTGAAATGTTCAGCTTAGAGAATAACGACAGCACATTAGGCTCAGCCCTTCATGCAAGAAATTGCATCAAGTTTAATACGATACACTCTTTTACCACCTGCCCTGTATAATTTATAAGTCATCGTCTCAAAACTCCATAAATAAACTACATCTGAACAGAGATTTAATTCCCAGGGGTAAATATTTAATTAATATATTCCAATTCCTCGGAACGGCAATATTAGTTATAACGGTAATAACGCACAAATGTGTTGTTCATTACATTGGCATCATTTAATTTTTTTGAAACGTCTCAAAGTACTCCAGGCCGTGATTTCGTTGCGCCTCGTGGAGCGTTTGTCAAGGCGCGAAGAGCGGCGCGGTCGAAGTCCTCGGGGGCCCGGTGCAGTTCGCACTTCGCGATGACGAAGCGTTCGGTCAGCAGACGCGTTCCGGTGCCGCAGCGGCCGAGGGTCGTCGTGTCTGCACTTTTGCGCTGTGACAACGTAATGCGCCAACAGAACAGGATCCCAGAATTGTAAATTATAGGAGTATAACAGTTTCATCATACCATAAAATTTTTTTGAGTAAGAGGGACTTTAAACTTTGTACGGAGATACGAAGGCGTTTTGTACACCATGAAATGTTCAGATACACTTGATGCTGTTGGCGCCTTTTATTTGCAATTTGGATGGTCGATCACCTCCTTGCGCTTTCCTTTAAAGAGGTCGCTCATGGCAGCTGTGTAGCATTGGATAAGGCACTTTCGACTGTGATTCACTAAGATTTGCAAGATATATTTCGAAAATATTTATTAATCGTCACTCACAATTTTAAATATTGGGATATATATCCACCATCGTTGTGTAAAATTGAAAATAATTCAGACATTTTAATTCAAAACTCTGTATGTATACGCAATGGGTGTACATTTCATTATTTTTCAGAAAATCTAAAATTTAAAAATTAATTGTTCTTGATGCTACCCGTACGCTTCCACAAATATAAAAGACTACCGATTCTCTTATAAAATAATACGAATATTCATATTTTCATAAAACGATTAAAATATTAGTAGATGAATGGCATCTTGTAATCGCACAGGGATTCCTTTTTGAAAGTATCACATTGAAATGCATCATCGACAGATTTCACTTTGAATTGAAAGTGTCTTAAGTCGTCTACAATACGACGACTCACCTAAAACACTGACAAGTGACCGAGGAGCATTAATTTCGAGGTGAAAACTTGTATTCTCTTCTGAAAAAATTAATTTATAGTTTGAACGCCACAGACCAAAGATTGGTTGAGTTACGTTTTCGGTGAATTTCTGGGATCGTGCGCTTTCACTATTGAGTGATGTGAAGGAATACCACCGGGAGCGTTGATCCAGTAGCCGAGGAGACTATCTGTTAATGTAAATTGGATGGTCGTGGAATATTTCCATAGTTGGCTACTGAAGATAGCTGTATAACTAATTAAAGGCTGACTTAGCATTTATTAAATTTTTATATTACAAAATTTCTCTGATTTGTATGGAACCTCTAGAAGTGAAAAAAGGACCGATAATAAATTTGGAATGTATTGAAAAACGTGCGTCAAGTCATTCGATTTTATATTACTATTCAAATGAATTAAATTTAACACAGTACGTTTCTGATGGGTTTAGGACGTAGTTTTCTACACTCATGACACACGATGCACGCCAAGGAAGTACACTACCCAATGTTTTCATTTTTTGCACAACTAGTTAACTACAATTTGAATGTTAATTCAAAGAGTCTAGATTTTGTTTCTTCAGCCGTTTCTATCGCGTGTTTTTTAGCAAATATATATTATTATAGAGGCGTCGATGCAGATGCTAAACCGTCGCTGATGACACAGAGAGGAATTGTGCCATCCTCAGAAGAACGAACAAGCACCAATGAAAAATACGCAAGAAAATAAACTAAATCACTTATTAGAGGATTGGTATAATTTTTACATCGAGTAGATGTTAAAAAATTAAAAGAAAATCAAATGATCAAACGAACAGCCAATAGAGACAACAAGATCTATTGTATTTCGTTAAATCTTCGAACGGCAACATCAAAAACGTGTTTTCCGCCGTAGTCAATATAAATATAAATTTGTGCGAAGAACAGCTGGTTCAGTCTCACTTGCGCCAACAGATGGGCCGCTTGCGGGCACGAACTCTACCTCGAACCACCCGCTGGGAGACTTGGAAGGGCTGAAGCGCCGGGCGCGCCGAGCGTCTGGAGAGGCGTCCGTCGGGGGCGGCGGCAGTGGGACGCGCTGAGTCGCACCTCTGGCTCGCACCTGCTGCTCGCTGCGGGCACCCCTCGACACTGGCCGTCTGCAGACCTCGTCGGCGCTTCTGAATGCGGTTGAGAGGGAGGCGGTGGCGGTGGCGGTGCGCGCAGCCGGCATTCGCGTCATAGGCCGACCGGGGCCCCGCCCCGCCCCCACCGCCACCCTCCCTGCCTCCACTACCAGCCGACACCTCTGCCGCCACAGCTCTGAACTTCCACCTACAACGATTGCAATCGTCGCTTCCGGATTTTTTCCCCTGATTATTTATAGTCGTTATTTTGCTTCATACCATCAATTCGGTTTGATTACTGAGGCATATTTATGTCCATTAAACGTGTCTGAAAACACTCATATACCCAGGTTTTGAAAAAAAAACTTACCAAAAAATTAATAATAAATTGTGAAAAAGACTGGATTAATAAACAAATCTCTAGATTCAATCTTGCATATGCTGGATGGGTTCGAAAAAAGTTAAACTTTCACAATATCTGTGAAACTTATTTATGAAAATTACTTAAAAAATAAAAGATTTAAATGGACATCGGAATTTTGCTGTTTATTAGAGTTCAAAGAAAGAGTTCGAAGAAAACATTCTTTTCTTCCCCAAAATTTTAAAAATGTTTTATAAGATTCAAAGTACCTCGCAAAATTAAAAGAGGCATGAAAAAATCACAGATCTTGGATTAAATTAGATTGATAGTGAAATATTCATTTTCGAAGACAATGTGTGCGACTTGGGTTCAAGTACAGCGGAAAATGTTAACATTTACAGGTCCGAAAAGAGAATATTCATTTTACTTCGGACTGCAATGTCTATATTATACTTTCTTGTTATTTCAGGCCGTACCAACATCTAGGACATTAGCATTCACAATTGCATTTAACGATATAGTAACTGTAAAGATGACATAATATGGTGATGATAGAGGGTGAAAGGACGAACACAATCCAACCACAACCGAGGCGGGACTCGAACCCACGATCCTTCGGTCTGAGATCGCTACGGCACTACTGCCTTAACGATCTCAGTCATACGGACTGGTTATATTATACTTTGTTATAAAACAATATTGTAATTTAATACTACGTCCTAATTGAAAAACACAATTTCATAACCTATTACCAATAATTTGCTTATGTTTTTTCTGTAAAGTGTTCTTGTTAAGACTGTGGGGAAACGCTTTTCACGACTACTCAAACGCAACATCAATATATTCGAACTAAGATCTGAAAACAAAATATCTTAAATCAGACTTCAATAGAGGAGTCTAGGAGAGATAGAAATGTGCAATAATTTCAAGGGTGCACTCTAATTGCTCTTTTGATTGATTGATATTTACGCGCGTTAATTTCTATGTCGATTTTCCCGTAAGTGTAACGCATGGTTTATTTACGAGAAGTGGCAGTGATCTTCCTCCGCTGAATGGCGAGAGCCGGCGCTGATCTACACGTCGGCCTGCGGGATTTTCCCAACCAGAATCTCCCAACACCTCAGTCTGGATAAGCCCGAAGTTTCCGACTGGTCTCCCGACATGTGTGGTAGTGTAGTGTGTGAAAGGGTAAGTGTGTATTTAAGATGATAGGCCAAGAAAAAGGAAGGAAAGATCGCGGTACGTAGCCCATGTGTTAGGATACTCCTCCGACATTCACCTGGTATTGGCCGGAATAACCACGGAAAACTATCGATTAGAGCAGCTGGCCACTACTAATTATTGTCTAGACAGCTGAATTCGACCTAGATTTCTAGTTAGTGTCGAAATTCTTGCCACCATGGGGGCTTTAACCCAAAGACCTCTCGGTAGAGGCACTGCAGTTACATAAACAGGTAATTGTTCTTTGCACAAAATGCAAGAAATCCCCGTGATTTTTGACAAGCCGTGCGCTATTACAAGTGTTCTTCTTTTTCAAAATGCGTATGGCAGAATCGCTTATTACATGTACTTCGTATTGCATTTATTGGTCACATGGGTAAAAGTTTGCAAAAAAAAGGACGTATGAATGTAGCCAATGTACATTATGTCAAAAGTGCGTATTTGTTAAAAGTATTACATCTGACAATAAAAATCGTGATTTGAAAGTTGTAATGTGAAACAAAAATTTCATTTAGTAGTAGTTTCATTTTACTTGTTTTGCTATTCAATCAAACTTACTAAGAGAAAATAAATTATTATTTTTTAGAAATGTGACATCTTGAAGCAGATAAGGACAATTGAACTTTGAATATGTAATTTGCAAAGCACTGTAACTATTGACAGTACTTATTAGACTACGTTATTAAACTCACATATATTTAGGTAAAAAATTAATTTGCTATTTATTATGCCCTATGAATTAAGTATTTTGCCCTGTAATGATATTAACTGTATATGCATTTCCTTTCTTATGACTTTCACTTAGATATTTTTTTGCATTCATTGAAATACATTTAAAATTATAATGAGTTACAATAAGTATTTCATAACAAAACTATCCGTGCCTGTAGTGTGCCGCTTGCTCACGTATATGTCACTCAGATATGAGCACAAACAGTACCCTGAGAAAAATCATTGCGCATAACACCGATTAAAACGGAAAAGGAAAACTTAACAACAGGATGTCATGAGAAATCACAACTTTTTAAGTATTGAAGTGTAGAATATTGTTCTCGTTTTGCTCAAACATTGCAAGATGGGCCGTGTGCAGCGCTGTGGGACATCACTACGTTGTGGAATCCAGGAATAGAGCTTACATCGAAAAGAAAAGAATGCAGAAAGCGGGTGGTATTTGCATTTCACGATATTCACAATCTCATGAAGTTTTCGTGTGTAAATGAGGTCAAAATTACGCAATACAGAAATATTTAAATGACATACTTTGAAACACAGCTCTTCCCAAAAGTTTCACATAAAAAGAGGTTTTGTTCTGATATGATATTTTCTCTTTAGATCAAGATACAGGTACATTTTATTGTATGAAGATGAATTAGTCTGATGTGCCCAGTTTTAATCCTTGTTAATGCTCGTTCTTGTGCATTGAGACACATTGCTTTTGCGGTGGTCTTCATACTTCTTGCTTATAACATAATACACTATCATGGATTATAGGAGTGGCTTTAACTTTGAACACCAATTATACACTGGAAAGTAGTGTAAAAGATTGAGTGAGGTTGAATATTAACGTGTAATTCTTGCAAAAATCCAACGATAACACCACTGTTTTATCTATAATGATTATGCTTCATTTGACTGTTGCTTCGTCGGTGGGAAGATGCATTATTTAGCATGATTTATCATTACAATCACAATCTAACTTAAGGAAATGACATTGATTTAATTATCCTTGAAAAGATTATGTATATTCACAGAATGTGTGAATATCATGTGGCATCATGTGATATATAAAAGGATATGAAACGAGAGGTTAAAAACAGACGTAATTTTTTATGATTATAAACAATGCAATTTGTAAAATATTAGGAAGATTCACGATAACTATTGTTGATTGAAATTAAAAAGATGATGCAGCGGTAAGAAATCTGTTAAAATTTGGTCTAAGTTGACAGAAAAGAATACTACAGACGCGGCACTCATTGATTTTTCCTGTTACAACCTCACACTCGCACACTTGTTCGTACAAGACAACGAACGATTCCCCCCGAAAAATCTGGTAGTGCAGTTTTCTATAGACTTTCAAATCTTTTGCCGTTCTATCGTTCTGGCCTTTGCATATTGAAAATGTATTATTTTTGTTTCCCTCACTACTTTGTTTCTCACGCTATTTTTGTTTCCATTCAAGCATTGTGTTTGGCAGTCCAACAAAGATACTAGTTTAATATTTTAACTTCCACAAACATCGAGCTTTCATAAAACAAATATCACACTTCAGAGAAGACTCCCACGAATATTATTGGATTATGTTTAACAATACAGGAAATAATATTAAAAAAGCAGCAAAAATATTGGCATAACACCAAGTGGTGGTGCTGTAGCTTGTTACAGATTGGAACAGTATTTGTCACACTAGTATTTTCTAATATCTTTAATCTTGGGTAGCTTTTCAGTATGGATCGCCCCTCATCCCAGTTGCTCATCAGCGACAAAACGTCATTTTTTCACAATTTCCTAATTATTTAGTACCCCTATAATAGAATTGATATATGCATTTAAGAATATTACAAAATAATAAAATACAATCGAAAATGCAAATTTTCATTTAAAAAAATTGGAGCCGTCCTTGAGAAAATGTCCCTTGGCGTTTCTGAAAAGGATTGAGCTTATTTTGGCAGAGGAATTTTTGAGACTACAGAAATCATTTGAATCACTTGCATTAAAAAATGCAAGCTTGCTGGTGTTTAAAAAATGTTTGTACTGAAGATGTTGACGACGTGGGATGTATTTCCAAAAAAAATTACCTTGCATCGTTTTTGAAAATCAAAAGACTACATCGAAAATGGAGTCTGTATTATGCTTACATTATGGACGTGATCAGTACACAAAATTACGCAAAACATGTTCATATTTAAAACTTATGTATATAATATATACATAAGTAATACATGTATATACATAAACTTATGTATATACATACATAAGTACTTATAATTTGAAAATGTATAATTGAAGAACATATTTTTTTCAGAGGAAAATCACTCTTCATTATTGTATTTGCTGGAAGACGCCGAAAATATTTTAAACTTTCTCAGTTTTGGAAAATTCATATATTTTAAAGAAACTTAGATATGAGCTGTTTTTAAGCGTCAGTGACGTTATCCGAGGACAAAATTTAACAAAGAATTTTTGAGAAATATTTGCAAACGTCTTCATGCAGGCTTCATGTACAGTACCTCAGAAAATAAAAACATCGGTTTGAGATTCAAGAGGTCATGCCATCAGTGAGACTTGAAATTCAATTTTACCGAAACTTTTACTTTAGTCACTAGTATTGTACAGACAGATGGGCAGGCAGTCAGAGAGACATTTTGTCATAAACTATTTTATCGGTATCACGGACGCATAAAACGTGGGTTCTGACCACACAGCGTGTTTGAGGAATATGCTACAAG